AAAAAAATTGTGATAATTGCCACTAGGCACTTTTAGATTAGCTGGAAATCTGCGCAGGAGACAGAATATCAGGCTTTGTCGTACTTCCTTGAAATTTTTTATTTTACTGTACACATATCTGCCTGCTCTTAACCGCGGATACATTTATAGCAAACTGGAAAAATACTTTACAAATGTTTACTTAGAACTGTAGCTCGAATTGCAGAAAAATGAAAATCGATTTTCAGCAGAACTTATTCGAAGGATAAAGGCACTTCACGTCAAAACCACGTGATCATTCTTAGAAACTCTGTGATAGTAATCAAAAAAGATTTTGGTTAAGATTTGACGGAAGAAAGCATAGTTAGACATTGGCAGCCGAAAGAGGAACCATGAATTTGGCAGCAGCTTTATGAAACTGCAAAATTATACATTTGCCAACTCAAAATTATCAAATTTCCAACTACCTTTTGTCATATCTTTTACTTTTTGTACAAAAACAGCCTTTCAGACCGGAGAGGTATGGAGAAATGGGGCAGACTCGAGAACAAGAAGTGGAAACCGAAAAAAAATTTTATTTTCTTTAGCCTTTCTTATTTCAAACACACAGAGATCAACCTCTCTGTAACAAAAAACTGCTTTGAAAAAGTCTGTTTAAGAAGTAACAGTTACAAAAAAATTATTAGAGCCGAACAACAAAAATCTTTAAAAATCTTCAGTGATTATAGCGTTTAGAGCCTGTTCAATCCATCAGGAATTTGCGTGTAACAGTTCTAGGTCTCCCTTGTAGAACTGAGGCTGGACAAGGTTATTCAGAAAAAATTCTTTAAAAGTTAATCTTTGGGACATTGTAAGGCCTACGCAAGTTTCGACTTGGTAATGCAGACTGTACCTGCAATCAATCGCCTTCGGCAGTTAACTACGAATGTGATTGATTACGCCTTATATTATCAGCAAATGATGTTGATACAGCTCTATAAATCATTGTCCGCTCCTGAGACAAATTTGTTGAGCGAAAAGAGCAAGCCGATTGTGTAGTGGCAATTTCGGTCTCGGCTTTCAATTATTTCTTTTTGGAACTACAGTACGTTCTCCAAATTTAATTTGATTTTTTGGTTACCAAAGAACAATTTGCTGTTTAAAACTTCCCCAGCATCCTGTACAGTTCAGTTTTATGTGTTTGATAGAAGTCGTTATAGTTTTAAAAACATGACGACCACCAGCTTTAGAACATGACAGAGACGGCCAGTTGAAGGATAAGCATTTTTTTTGTTTGGTTAGCTAATTCCACTGTAAGTCGCTTATCTGTTACATTCCCGCATTCGTTCATCAATCTTTTTATATACCAATTCAGTTGGAACAGTAGCAATGAATTTTGTACGCCACCTCCAATTTTATTATTTGGTTAACATTATCAGGTTTAGTTGGAAACATAAAAAAATAATCCTGTTATCTCCAATTTTATAAAAAATATTTAGCACATGGAAATCATTATATAAAATTTTTTATCATGGTCAGATTTATCTTTTGTAATAACAACGCAACTGAACACATAAAGCAGTTGACTGGTGATCAAAGCGGAGAGGGGATTAACGCGCCAACGAAGCCTTACTTAGTCGACACCACTCATTTTTTATCTCGATATTCTGCATACACCGGCTTAATTGGTTTCATAATCTTCAGAAACTCCACGTCTGCCAGTTATTTAAACTCAAGAAACCTTTCTGGGGTTTTTTCATTAATGACTTCACTGGTTAATGCTTTCTCAGTGGTACACATTTGAAAACACGTACAGTTAATGGATTCATAAGTTACAGCAACAAAGTTACCTTTCTTCTCTTTATGCTAAAGATGCAGTAAGGCGTCAGTTGACTGATACAATTCTTATTAACTCGTTAGTTGAATTTTCTACAAAAATCTTATTCTTTATTGACTGCAATTATGACATACAATACTAATTAATAAATTGTTAACGGTAACAGTTTTGTTAGAATTATAAAACATTGGTGGACAGAAAGCCCTTTTTCTAGAAACACCTTTGTTTTTCTGTTAAATAAAGCTGAAGCAATTTAAAGCACTTTTTTTTCGATATACTTCAGCGGATAAATCAAAACTAACAAGAAAATTTTTTTGAGCTGCAAAACGAAAATGTTTAGTGAGGAAACAAAGCAAATGACTGAATAAAAGTGGTTTTTGGTTTCAATTATTAAATGCAGCAAAAAACATGATTAACACGCATTATGATTACAGCAGTATTCTTGCCAAATGTGCAGTACAATTGGCTAAACAGACCGAAATAAATCTACGTTTGTTCTGAAAATCATTGAAAGCTTTAGCTGGCAAACAGTAACAAAAAAAAAAGAATCGGCACCGTCAGGAAAAAATGACTTATAGTAATTATCTATAGCTGTAAGATGTTCAACTTTTGAGTGGCAAGAATACCAACAAAAAATTGTTAACAAGCGAGGTAGCCATATCGTCGAAACGAATAACAGTAAAGCAGTTGAAAAAAGCTTCACAGCAACGATTAAGCACAAAGCATTATTAGACAAAACATTAACTGAAACTATGTAACACTAAAATCGTGTTTATTACAATTCAATTTTAACGTAGACGTCTAATTGTTAAGCTATATTTAAGCAAGAATTAAAAAATAAAAAAAGCGTTTCGTTAAGATCTAAAAATCAACTTAGGCATAAAATAGGTGTTAGTTACTACCCGCATTTTTGAAAGCTTGTTTTTCGTCAATGAAGACTTCATTTGGAATGGTAATTGTTTTGTCCCGTAGGCTTATCGGAAGGATAAATCCGGCTCGAGGTCTCCATCGCTCCCAGTAGATCTCATCCTCTACAGCGATTGTGAGCCTGTTGTGAAGCAACTATTAAAATAATCACTGCTGGAAGTTCTAAGAAAAATTATTCGAAGGAACGTGTATTTTTACTGATAATTTATAGTGCAGAGAACAGTACTTTTGCACTGCTAATCTGTTAACACTACTTCAGCATTAAACTAAAAAAATCATCACTAAATTAGTCAAAAAAGAGTATCCACTTTACGACACTGTTAAATAGCCGTCATTTTCTAGCAAAAATTTCTTCTTTTCAGAGCTAAAGTGCGTCAAATGACTACTTCTTCGTGCCTTGCGAGGACTCTTTCAGACACTTAAAGAGAGCTCAAATTTTTATATCCGCTATATCTTTAACATAAATTGGAATTAAAATTCCATTTCGAAATGCGATTACGCAATTCAGGGAATGGACGATAAGAAAATACTGTCAGAACTGCTCAGAAATATCTGCATTCAATGATTAGATTATACGCAAATTTTTCTTTAAAAGTCTTTGTTTTTTTCCGTACTTGTCTATTTTTCTTTCATATATTTTCAAGCTTGATTACGATCAGTAAATTGAGGTTCATGAAACGCTAAGTCAGGAATTAGACTCAAATTTGTATCTGTCAGTTGAAACGAGGTCTCTGAAACCAGTGGAAAAAATTTTTATGCAGCTATTTCTTTTACGGTGGTATTTTGCTGACGTTTGAACACTGTAAAGCAGCAAAAACTTATTCACTTGAACCTTCCCTCATGTAAGATATACACGTTTGAAAATTTTCAAAATTTTTGATGTGTAAAAAAAGATAAAGAGTTTTTGAAGCTTTCTAACCTTACAAATATTTTTCTAAAAAAATCATTGCCTATTATCAAATTTTAGATTACTTGTACTACTGTAAAAAAAGCATCTTTTGTTACACAGAAAGCAATGATTATAATCATATAATTTTAGAACCACATAATCATGCTTGTCAGCTGTTGAGCAACTATTAAAAACCTTCTTAATTCTACTACTGTTTTGATTTTTTGGTCTTATTTTAAAGTATTTTCCATTCTTTGCACTGAAGAATTTTCATAATGCAGTCGCTCTAAGTGAACTTGCCTAAAACTTGTATTCCTGTTTGAGCATTTTATGAAGAAAAAAGAGTTTTCAAGAGAGTACTAGTGCTTTTCTAAAGCACGTTTTACAGAATAACCTTAAAAGCATTACGAACAATTAATTGAGGTTCCTAAATTAACTGAAGTACGAAAACTTACATAAACTGTATGGCACCAACGTCTTTGCTGCTAGTCCAGTGTACCTGAGTAATAAACTTTCTGCTGTCATCTGAGTGCGTAACTGAATCTGAATCTGGAACCTTCCTGTCGCATACTTGAAGTCTAACGCTGTAAGTGCTCCAATCGGAGGTTTCCAAAAACCGTCCACCTTTAAGTGAGCCCAGGAGATAACCAGAATCGCTTGTAAGCCGGCTTTGAAGAAGTAAGCCGCGATAATGAATGAAACCAATTAGGCGCACTACAAAATCTTTGGCTATAATGAGTTTTTCAGCCGTATTTAAGAGCTAAAAACAAAAGAGTAATTCGCGAAAAACTCCAGTCATAAATAGGAGTAAAAGTAAAATTTTTTAACATTTTTAAACAACAGCATATTTCAGCGTAAAACTCCTCAAAACTTTAGACCTGTATAAGTTTTCCCAGGTTCGTAGTACCGTGTTTCTCTGCCGTCTTCATCAAGGAAGAAGAATTCAAATGGTGGTACAGTTTTCTGAGGCCGACCATGGATCGCTCTGTTCATTCTCATCGAATGCTTCATCATGCAGCTAAATCCACCGTTCTCCGTCAAGGATGCAGTGACGATTTTGATATATGGTAAAACAATTAGAATCAGTAACCAGATCATTCTGAAAACATTTTGTTTCAGCTGTATACTAAGTACCACTAGAAAATATTTTAGAAAAATGGGTTTCTCGCTAAAAGATTAGTCAGCAACTCTTTTCAGATGACAGTGCGTACGTACTTTGACAAATCTTCCCTTCACTAGTATATAACTCAGTGTTTTTATCAATAAATATTTAATTCTTTTGAGCAGAACTGCAACTTTGCATCAGCATTTTTTTAATCTTTTCTTGAATTACCTATCGCACAGAAATACTATAACAGACAGTATAATATTTTCGCATAAATCACTTTTATACAGATTGCTTACGAGCAAAATACTTTTTTTTTTGTTATTTAGAATGATTAATAAACGTTGTTTATTACACTTGTAGTCAGTTAGGTTTAATAAGTAATTCAGCAGTTGATCGACTAAAGCAATTTAGCATTTTTATTGAACAAAAGCCATCAGTTTAAGTCAGAAACATAAGAAATTTGAGTGCAACTGTAAATTATTATTATTATTATTACTGCATTTGACAAATTAGTAAATAATACATCGTATAAAAATGACTTTTAAGATATACCGATCATTGGTAGTGTTTTATTGATAGAAATAAAAGCTGGTTTTTTAACTTTGATCGAAAAAAAATATTATTAAATTATGAATTACATATTAGTACATTACTTTAAATACCAATCATATTAAAAACAAAAAATTTTAAATTAAAAGAAAAAGTTTAAATTTGATTTTTTTTATTGTCATACAGCGAATGATGAAAATTTACGCAATAAACTGAATGCAATTTATTAATATTTTTTTAATAAGAACTTCAAAAGTTTCAACTGTAATAACTATACAGATTCAAAATTGAGAAAATCGAGAATCAAACATCGTCATGCTGCTGCTTCGGTGATTCAACCTTATTGGAGCACCTAACAGTTTTGCTAGACCTTAGCACTGCTGCTTTTGCAGGTTTTAAAACAGAACTTTAAACAAC